ACACACACACACACACACACACACACACACACACACACACACACACAATAGGAGAGATCAAAGAGATCAACAGCTAAGGGAGTGCTTCTGAACACTGTTAACCTAGCCCTAAGTTGTCACAACTCATCCCTTTTCACTGCGTACCCTAAAACTCTTCTCTTATTAATAAACTCTTCTTATTCTAAAACTTTCTTTTCAGGTTTCTTCCATTTTATGGTGATCATTGAAACCTAGGCTTCTTCTGAAGACATGACATCTCTGAGCAAACTTTTCAAGGCTGTATGTGGTTTCTCACATACTCTCTTATGCACAGAATCAAGAAGAGAAGCTGATAGAGACTTTACTTGGCCTTGCCACCTGTAGACATTTTATTCATCCTTGTTACTTAGCAACTATGCTATTGAGATCCTTCTCTCTATCAACTATAGACCTCCAGCTCAATTTATCCCTTCTTCAATAGGTTCAGAATCTGATTTTCACACTTCTTTTCCACTCCTTCTCCTCTCTTCCTTCCTAGTTGCCGAATTTCCTCAGCTACCATGACCTCTGATTTCAGACAACTTTAACCATATAGATTGTTTATACTTCTCCCAAACATCAACTCAAATAAATTGGTTCTAGGTGCCCGAATTCCAATGTCTGCTATTGGGATCATGTTCTGAATAGTTCATTGTGTACATAGGAAGTAAATAAAAGTGAAAGAATTAAGAAGCAGAGGAAAATATTAATTACTTCTTCTCAGAAAATAGGAATTGCTTATAAGTCCCTGTGGAAGTCTTTGTCTGTGTATTACTAATGAGATCCCAGTTATCTCATAAACATCCATAAAAGCCTTAAGTTACATCATCACGAGTTCCATTGGCATAAATTAACACTGTGTCTTTACATATAACTGAAGAGGACACTCTAGTTAAAGTCACAATTAGGAAAAATTAGGTTAAAGTAACAATTAGAAATAATAATCTTCAGATCAAATCCATATCTAGAGCATTTTAGAGACTGAGTTCTGTGTCCTAATTCCCATCAACATTAGCAAATATTAGAACGTTCCAACCATGACTATAATAAGTTTTATAGAAGCCATATATTTTGGATCAAGAAGCTTTAAGATCCAATGCTAGAGGGTAAGTAGTTGATTAATTTGATGTTATTTTCCTTCTAATTAAGGATTAATGAAACCTTAAGCCTTTGCAAAAGAATTTCCACATTGATTATACCCATCACTGATAATGGCATAAGGCTGGAGACTAGATACTAGTGGTTTTAAAAATAGAAAGAGATAGGGGAAGCTAGGTGGTTCAGCGGATACAGCACCAGCCCTGGAATCAGGAAGACCTAACTTCAAATTTGGCCTCAGGCATATAGCACTCACTAGTGTATGATTCCAAGCAAGTCACTTAACCCCAATTGCCGCATGTAAAAAAAAATAGAAAAAAGATTTTTGGAGGTATGAAGAACTCCATCTCAGAATTATGGAACTACAGAATTTTTGGAATTAGAAGGGGTATTCCATCTAGTTCAAACCCTACCCCATAACCTCCCTTTAATACACATACAACAGTGGTAGTAATCCAGCTTGAAGACCTCAATTTAAGAGGAATCCACAACTACCATGGCAATACATTTCACTTTCAGTTATGTATAATTGTTACAATTTTGTCTTCACATCAAGCCTAAATTTGCTTCTTTTCAACTTTACACATTACTCTTGAATGTTCCTTTTTTGAGATTTTACATATGATTCCTTTTACACATAATAGTTTTTAAAATACTAAGAAATAATTATCTTTTCCCTCTGATTCTTCCCTTCTCCATGCTAGGCTTTAACAAGTCATTCAAATTATCTTTACATGACATGTACTCAAGATAATTTGTGGTCCTCATTGCCCTTTTCTGGATATTCTCTATCTTGTCAATATCCTTCCTCCACTATGGGAAAGAAAACCAGACAAAATACCCCACATGTGGTTTGAACAAGGTAAAGTGTGGTAAAACTATTACTTCCTTATTCCTAGAAGCCATACCTCTCTTCATGGAACACAAGGTTATGTAATTTTTTTTTGACTACCACCTCAGATTGATGTTATATTGAGTTTGTAGTCTACTAAAATTCTTCATCTCTGACAAAGTGACTTCTAAATTTGCCTCCATATTTTTGCACTTTTAGAACTGATTCTTTTAACTGTCATTCAAGGTGTTACATTTATCTTTATTAAATTTTATCATATCAGATTATACCCATTGTCCTAACGTATAATGATGCTTTTAGATCGTGTGTTTGTTAAACTGTGAGTTAGTTATGTCTCCAAGCTTGGTGTCATGTTCAAAAGCATACCATCTATTGCTATTTTTTTGTTCATTTTTTGTTTTCAAAGAGGACCAAAGACATCAGAAGAATGATGTCCTGATGTGTATGAAGTCTTTAGTTTTTGGTAGGAAAAAAAGCTGAGAAAAAAGAATCAGAAGAATTTATGTTACAAATTTACTATTGTATTTGATATATCATTTTAGGCTTGTAATAATGAAGACTATTTTTTTTCCTGTTGCATACAGATTCTTACTCTACCCTCAAGAAGAATGGACAAAGGCAATTATTCACTAGTAACTGAGTTCATCTTCATAGGGCTGACAGACCAGCCTGAGCTCCAGTTGCCACTCTTCTTCCTGTTCCTGGAGATTTATGTTGTCACTGTGATGGGGAATCTGGGCATGATTATACTTATCGGGCTGAGTTCTCATCTTCACAACCCAATGTATTGTTTTCTCTTCAATTTGTCCCTCATCGATCTCTGTCAATCAACTGTCATCATGCCTAAAATGATAATGAACTTTTTATCAGAAAAGAACACCATTTCCTACCCTGAATGTATGACTCAGTTCTATTTTTTTACCTTTTTTGCCATTTCTGAATGTCAAATATTGGCTGTGATGGCATATGACCGCTATGTGGTTATATGCTATCCCCTTCATTATAGTCTTATCATGTCCTATCACGTGTGGTCATGGTTGGTGGGTGGGATGTATGCATTGGGCCTCACTGGGGCCACAGCTCACACAGTGTGTTTGCTTAGAGTGCTCTTCTGTAAGGAAAATGCCATTAATCATTACTTCTGTGATCTCCTTCCACTCTTGAAGCTCTCTTGTTCTAGCACTTATGTCAATGAAGTGGTGGCTCTGGCCTTCAGCACATTTAATATCCTTTTCCCGACCTTGACAATTATTTGCTCTTATGTTTTGATTATTGCTAGCATTTTAAAAATCCAATCCACTGGAGGCAGATCAAAAGCCTTCAGTACCTGCAGCTCCCATATTATAGCAGTTGGTGTCTTCTTTGGCTCCCTTGCATTCATGTACCTGCAGCCATCTTCAGTAAGCTCCGTGGATCAGGGAAAAGTGTCCTCTGTCTTTTACACTATCATTGTACCCATGCTAAACCCCGTTATCTACAGTCTAAGAAATAAGGATGTCCAAATTGCCTTAAAGAAAGCAATAGAAAGAACATTCCATTGAAAAGAGAAATATTAGAATAATGGGTTAATTGGTTTAGTGGATACTGTTCTGCTGTGGATAGAAGAGGAAGGGAGAGCACATAGAGAGAGTCAGCATTAGAGAGAAAGGGGAAGAATGAGATTTGTACAAACCAGAGACGTTGTTCTACACTTGTAATCAATTAGAAGCCCAACTCAGAGCTACTTTGGGAACATTTCTCAAATCAGTGGGCTACATCTCTCTCTCCCCACATTTATCTTCCCTATTATCTTATCCTATGTTATCTTACCTCTCTGACTTGCATTCTAGATGGGCTGTGAAATTCAACCATGGATTTACCTGCTTCTGATATTTAAAGAGTTTGCTCTTCTATTTTAATAACCTTTATGGAAAAACACTTTTCCTAGATGACCCCCTGTGGCCAATGATTCTTGAAACTAGCAGTCAAATGTCCAAAGTTTCACAAGATGAATGTTACAGAGAATGCTAAGGCTAGAAGAAGATTTAACAATTTACAAGTCCAATCACCTTGTTTTTCAGTTAAAGAAACTATACCTTGAAGAGGATAAATGGTTTTCTCTTAGTCACAGAACTGATCAAGAGTAAAACCAGGTTTTGAATACAAGTTTCTTGATTGTTGATCTTTGTATTTCTCCTTTAAAACATTATATAGTCATCTTTACAGAGGAATCTAATGGAGGGAAACACAATTACAGCCTTAAATGTGAATGGATGTCTAAAGAAGAAGTTAAGGATCCATCCGCCAACAACCTAACATCGTAATATATAAAGAAGTTCTTTAGTCTTGTAACCAGTTTTTAAGAGGGCCTCATACAGGTAGGGAGAAGTGTTTCTGGGAAATTTTCTTTCAAGTGTCTTCTTGCCCTGGTGAAGAACTTTCTCAAGCTTAGAACCAATAACAGCTATACAAGCATGAGCAACATTTGCTGTTTTAAAGCTGACCATACAACAGTGTGGAAAATTGCAGATATTTTCTGAATTTTTTTCAATGTATTGATTAGTTTGGCTGATTCTTTTTTCTCTCTTTTCTTTCTTGTTTTAAAATTTTATTTATATATGTATGATTTGTTATATGGTAGTGTTCTATGAGAAAAGGAGTTAGCCCTGTTAACAGAGAGTTTGGTTACAGAAAGGAGTTCTGAGCCCTAGACTTTAAAAGTTGTAAATTGCCTTTGGTAGATGTCTTCCTCATAAATATACCTCACTGCTATGTTACCCTGTGCCTTCTCTTTCCATGGATGTTGTGTATATTTGTGTGTAACAGTTAATTCAAGATTTAACTGTGAGGAGACCAGTATTTTTCTCTTTGTAAGATATCTTAAATAATAACAACTACATGAAGGGAGTTAAACTGTCTTGAGTTGTAAGTCAAGAACTGCATCAGGAGTATGAGCTGTGGGACCAAGCATATGACAAATTCAGGAATGATTGGAGTAACATCAGAAGCATTTGAATGCATTAGCAGTATGGGGTTTGTGTAAAGGGGAGATGAAATGGCCACTGAAGGGGTAGATTTGATGGCAGGCAGCTGACTGTTGAGGCTTAGTAGGCCCTGAGCCACTTCCTGAGTCCTTGGCTCTGCCAGTGTCTCTACTATCAAGGGCCAGATTGGGATGTGGTGGCTAACTCATTAAGAAGAATAAAGTATAAATGACACACTCTAAATTATGATCTCTCCTTCTTTCCCCATCTTCTCTGGCTGAGGAGAGCAGATGACTCAAAACCTCATAAAATTTTAGAATTGGTTTTCTATTTCTTTGTCAACAGTTGGAAATTTTTTGTTGACTACATAGAGCCTTTCACTTTACCTGCCACTGTGTTATGTATTGTCTAATTTGCCAGTATGAAAAGTACTGAACAAATCATGATACATAACTATAAGGTAATATAATACTCTAAAATATCAATATGTGAAATTAGGGAAATATGGTGAAGCATAAAGTTCATGCCTCAAATTTATAGTTTTCATTGAAATTAAATAGAGTACTACTCCTAAGAAACTAGGTCACAAACCATAGATTGAATTTTATTGCATATGTAGTTAGAGAAAAAGAAAGCAATAAGGATTTTCTAAAAGCTGTTGATTCTGAGAATATAGCAAGTTATTATATCTGTTTATTTTAATGATTTGCAACTGTTTGGGTCTCATCTTAGAGTCCTTGAAACTCTATGCTATGTCCTGTCATTCTTATACTTTGAATTACTTCCTAATTCTTTGAGAATGAAAAGTTGTCCCAATTTGCAATTTTACGTTTAGATAGATATTCATCTGGAAATTATTATTTAACTTTGTTTTTAAAATATATAAATTTTAATTTATTTCCATTCCTTAAACTCTCCCTTAATTCATGTTGTAACCATGTTGTACCTCTCTCCTTGAACTTACATGATATATAAAATAGTAGATAGAGAGATATAGATATGTTTACATATATGTGTATATACATGATAAATTTAAAATATAAATATATTCATGTATGGAGAGGGAATTACTATGAAAGTAATATATGCAATATATATTATAGATAATAGAGATAGACAGACAGATGTATAGAACAAACTTTTGATTCTAACTGATCTTACTTTAAACATAATACAGAAATTTTACCTCCTCTATAATTCTGGTGCTTAGTTTTGGATCAATGACTCTCAGAGAGATCCCTGGATTCTCCAAGATACTTTCATGGGATCCATGAGGTCAAAATTACTTCCATAATTATATTGATATTTAAATTTCTAAAATAGTAATTATAGATGGATATAACCTACATAAATGAAAGTTTTTTGGAGTACTCAATTTTTAGCAGTTATAAAGGAGTCCAGAAACCAATAAGTTTGAGACTCACAGGTCTAGATTTTCCTGTCATGGTGTTTTGACAACTCTCTACCTCTCAGTCAGAACAAGACCTATCCCTCCACTTCCTGCTCTCTGGGGTCCTGCGTTTGTGTGTGATGAGCACTCACCATTTACAACCCTTCATAGACCATCTCAATGCAATCTTTCTGCCGTGCAGTGATTCCACCCACACACATACACACTTTTCACCTCTGCCTCTGAGAATAATAATCAGAACTATCATTATTCCTAGAAAGAATTGTCCATCAACTGCCCTATAAATTCACCCAAAATCCCTATGATTTCTTAGATCAAATGATCCCTCCCTGACCACTTCTCCCCTTTAAATGTTGTCTTCTCCTTTAGAATAGAAGTTTCTTCATGGTGTAGACTCTCTTGTTTTATGCATCTGTGGCCCCAGCACTTAGCACAATCATTGGCACATGCTATTTACTTAATAAAAAAAAAATCACTCATTCAAGTATTCATTCCTGTCCTCAAGAATAACATTATTTAGGAAAGCTGATATAATTCTATCCTGGTTCTGCCTCTTTGAAAAGAGGAAATTGTCGAGCCTTATGGCTTTTAGGGCAAGTAAGACAATTCAGCAAGTTTTGCTAGTCCTACCTGACAAGCTGAAGCAGTGAGTTGGGCCAGAAGTTGGAAGATGTGCCTGAGGAAATGACATTAGGAAATTATTCCTGGGAATTTCATACTAGTCCACCTTCTGAAAATGAAGAATTGCTTAAAAAGCCAGAAATCTTTAGAGAAGGCGATTAACTTGTCAAAACATATTGGAACCTCTGGAAGAAAACTGCAGTTGGTACATGCATACTGACCTGAGGAGGAAATTGGCACTATGAGAAACAGTGTGATAACCTTCTATAAAGAGCAGCCAGTCAAGAAGCCCAGGAAATCAACTCATTCCTTCCCAAGCACAGGTGAAGAAGGTGGGTGGGTTTTTTTCCCCCTCAACCCTGAAGCTCTCAAAGAAAAAGCCAGAAACCATTTTTATAAGAGTGCTGTATCAATTCTACCCTTATCTGGCATCAGTTTGACTTTAGTCAAGACAGATTTTGAGGGACAAGCCAAGAAACTGTTAGAATTATTGGAAAACTCAAAGGAGGCATTTCTACTGAGTCACTGAATTTCACAAATAAATCTAGCACTTTTATTTCATTAATGAGTAAGGTTAAGACCGCATAGGTCCTTCCTATGGTACACAGATTCCGTAAGCTCAAAATTGTTATTTTCTCCCAGCGTGAACTGTATCCTTCAGTAGAACAATACTAGGAGACTTGGGTTGGAAAGATAATTGTAGTCCCAAGAGACTGGAAGATACCTGAGCAAAACAAAGTGATAAGACGAAGAGAGAATCTAAGGGGAACAGTCATTAAAATCACTTTTGATGCATGGTCAAATGTCATTTGGCATGAATATATACAAAATATAGCTGACATGCATGAGAGGGGGCAGATCAGAAGAAGACTACTTTTAATTTTGTCTCTAATGCTACGTACTACAAAGGAGAAAACCTGTTGAGTTTGTCTTCAGGGTGGAAGACAATCAGTCAATAAACATTTATTAAGTGCCTACTATATGCCAGGCATTGTACTAAGCACTGAGCATACAAAAAAAGGCAAAAGCAGTCCCTGCCCTCATAGAGCTCACAATGTATTAGGGGAGACAAAAAACAAACAAATATGTGCAAACTTGCTATATACAGAATAAAGATGAGATAATTAACAGAGATAATTAACACCAGAATTAAGAGGAGTCTAGAAGATGGAATTTTTGCTGGTACTTAAAGGAAATCAGGGGAGGCAATAAGTAGAGATGAGGAGGGAGAGCAACGCAGATAAGGGAGAACCTGAGAAAATGGCCAGACTGAGAGACAAAGTTTCATCTTGGAGGAAAGGAAAGAAGTCTGGTGGACCTGGATCAAAAATTATGAGGCAGGGAATAAGGTAAAAGAAGACCGGAAAGGTGGATGAGGGTGCTGGGTTATAAAGAGAAGGAGTCACTGGAGTTTACTAAGGAGGTTTAATTGTTACACTGAAAATTTAACAATTTACTCTCAGAACTGTTTTGAGCAGGCTTGAGAACACTCTAGTATACACATGTACAGGTAAATATATAATATACATTCACATACATATTCACA